CACAAGGTCAGACTCAGGGTCAGGGACGGCAGGAAGAGAGGACTCATGAGGAGGCGGCAGAGGAACACGCTGTGGAACAGAGGAAGGACGAAGTGCCATAGCGTGCGTGCCGGGGAAAGGAGGAGGACGCGAACGAGGAACGCGACGAGCAGTGCGAACAGGCGAGACAAGATGAGACGCAGGCTCACGACGCTCTGTAAGACCGCCGGACTGCTCATAGTAAGGGGAAGGAGCAGGCAGTGGAGAGGGTGGCTGCAACGGCGGCTGGGACTGGTCAGGCGGTGGACACAGGAGGGGAGGAGTAAGACCAGTAGAAGACGGGGTACCAAGAACCTGTTGAAGCAAGGGAACGAAGTACTATCGCGGCCGCACAGCGCCACCAGGGTCAACAGCTCCACCTCCTTTAGCTCTAGCGCCTCCCGCGCCAGTGCCTCCAACTCCAGCACCTCCTGCGCCAGTGCCTCCAACTCCACTTCCTCCTGCTCCAGCGCCACAAGCACCAGAGCCGCCAGCACCAGTAGCTCCAGACTCCGTAGGGTCTCCGTCTCCAGCATCCTCAACACCACCAGTCCCAGTAGCTCCAGTACCCCGGGTACGAGCACCTCCAGGACAAGTGGCCGCAGTACCTCCAGTAACACCAGCTCCAGCACCTCCAGCTCCGGTAGCTCCACGCCGAAGGCATGCGCGCCCAACAAACCACTCACACAGCTGCTGCGGAGACAGTCTCGGCAAAACACCAGCAGAACCTCCAGACGAAGCAGTACCCTGGGGCTCAGCACCTCCAGACTCCGCACACTCCAACGCAGCACCCCCAGGCTCAACACCCTCAGGCTCAACACCCCCAATCTCAGCAATCTCAGACTCCGCACCCCCAGGCTCTGCACCCCCAGACGCAGCACCCCGAGCAGCACCTGAGCTGACAGCTATCTAAACAGGCCTGCGCCAGGGAGAGGGTCTACGTGAGACACACCTGAGGGAGCAGGACCTTGGGGCGGGAGGGGGTTTACCGGAGGGGGACCGGGAGCAAGGAAGAGCGGCGGGGGCAGGGGAGAGGCAGAGAGGTAGGGTAATAGATGGTAAAAGGGAACTGACTCGTCTAACGTGAAGTCCTGGGAAGGGAAGACACGGCGCGAGGTGGGGTGGTAAAACTGCCAGCCAGGCGCGTCAGGGACAAAGCCAAGGAAGACGCAGGGGATAGAACGCGGGGAGAGCTTGTCCGCGGACGTATCGCGAACAAAGGCACGAGATCCCCAGACCTAGAACACCGATGCATCGCGAACCTCCCCCGTCCAACGCAGTGTGGGCGAGGTCTCCGGCAAGGAGACACGGGGCCAGAGGTTGAGCTGATGCGCAGCATACCAGACCGCAAACGGCGACACAAAATGGGGAGCAGCCGCATGGATCATGGAGGTACGAGCGACCTCCATGACTAAGCGAATGCGGCGCTCAGCAATCCCATTTTGTTGAGGGGAGTCCGGAAGCGTGAACGACTGGAGAATGCCCTCCCCACGACAAAAGTCCCGCAAGAGGTTGGAGGAGAACTCACCACCTCTGTCAAAGTGCAGACGCAAGACAGGAAGGTCTTGGCCAAACCGCTCGCGGAGATGGAGACGGACTGTGCGAATCCAAGGGATCAAGACATCAACGACCTGACCTTTGCTGCGCAAGGGGAAGACTGTGGTGTACCGCGTGTAGTCGTCAACGACCAGCAGAAAGTAGCGCTCGCGGCCCTGTCCACTGACGCGGGCTGGGCCCCACACGTCCATGTGAAGAGTCTGCAGGGGGGCAGTTGTCGGGGGAAACGAGGAGTGAGGAGCGGCGCGCTGCCGCCCCTTGACGCAAGGAAGGCAGGGTGGGGCAGGCGAGGGCGGCAGGGGAGGTAGGGACCTGGGAAGACCAGAGACAAGAAGACAAGAGTGCATGCCATGAAGGCGTGGCAGGGAGGGGTGACCCAGGCGGTGGTGCCACAGAAGAGTCTGGTGCGACAGGAGGCGACACGAGCAAGAGGCGGCTACCTGACCTGACGCAGACACCTGAGCAGACGCAGCTACCGGAGGAGGCTCGGTAGCCAGTGTGTACAGACTCGACCCTGGCCAATGACTGAATGTGGCCAGGTGACGGCCCGTCCGTGTGCACATGCAGATCGTCACACGCTGACCCCCAGAAGTGGTGATAGTGACCATCGCATCCTGGAGGGCAGCGGTACTCACCAAGTTCGCAGAGAACGAGGGGAGGTGAAGACCTGACAGTGAGCCGGACGGAACCGCCGGACACGGGAGAACAGTGGAGGAACGGGCCACGACCGGGCCTCCAGAGGGGTGTAGAGAGAGGAGTGAGAGTGGTGCTGTCACGAAAGAAACAAGCAGAGGCGCCTGAGTCAAGCGTGAAGGTGTGCAAGGCCTGAGCAGGCGCAGTACCATGGAGAGTACCAGACTCACTAGCACCTAGAGCAGCAGCGGCTATACCTGGGTCAGGCGGCACACACCGGTAACAGTCACCCTCAGCACTAACAGACAAAGCATACATAGCAGAAAGAATAGCATCAAAGTCTAGGTCAAAGATAGCAATCCTAGACATAAGCAGATATGCCCAGTGAGGGAGCTGGACGTCGTCACCAAACTTAGCACGCCAAGCGTCGTCGAGGCGGGAGAAGCAGCCGTGCTGAGTGTGAAGCCGCCCGCAAGTCTGACCAGCATGGTCACCCGTGCGAATGACATACGGGCAACTACCCCCAGACGCCCCACGCAAAAACCACTCACGAAGCTGCTGGGGTGACTGGGTCTCACTCAGACAAAGCTGCTGCTGACGCTGGCCATCTCCAGAACCAACACGCCGAGCTCCAGTCCCACCGCCACCAGTCCCACCGCCGCCACTGCCGCCACTCCCACCGCTGCCTCCACCGCCGCCACCAGAGCCCCCACTCCCTCCACTAGTCCCACCGCCGCCACCACCTCCACTGCTGCCCCCACCACTACTCCTGCTGCCACCTCCACCACCGCCGCTGCCACCTCCACCACCCTTGCCACCCTTGCCCTTGCTGCTGCGACGCTTCGCACTAGCAGAAGCAGCCCCGACGTCCTCAGCAACAGAGACGTCTGCTGCAGCAGCAGAGCCGTAGGATGGGGCAAGGGGGGAGGGGGAGCACCCCTCAAAGAAGGGCGGGCGCTGAGTGCCACAAGCAGCACCTACAGTAACTGCACTAGTCTCAGCTGCGAGGAGATGCTGCTCTAGTAGGTCAACAGTGAGGGAGGTGGGGTCAAGGGAGAGGAAGTGGTCCTTGACAGAGCGAAGAGAGTCAGGGAGGCGAGTGACTATGAAGTAGAGGGTGATGAACATCGGGGGCGGGTTCCTGTCAAGGAACTCAGCAGGGACGGCAACACGGTAGCGAGCGTCGCTAGCGCGAAGGTGGGAAACCAGGTCCTCGACTGTGGCAAAGGCAGACAGTTCGGGGAACAGGTAGGGCAGAAGCAGGCGGCCTAGAGTAGCAGTGGCAGGGGAGGAGTAGCGAGCGACTACATCGTCGTACAGTGCCTGTTCGGTCCTGCGCTGTCCGAAGTGAGCACATTCACCTATCGGCAGGTGGTTGCGAATGGCTGGGCGGGCAGCAGCGTCGTGAGAAAGCCACTGTGAGCGAGTCGTACTGGACACGTGGTCAAACAGAGAAACACCATCCTTAGAATCGCACAGTAGGTACAGCTGCAGGTCGTCGAGCCACGTGTCAAACTGAACCGGTCTACCCTCATGATCGAATGCGAGAACTCGAAGCGAGGCTATAGTGGCACAGTATACAGGAGCAGCAGTAGCAGCAGTATGCAGAAGCAGCAGTAGCAGCAGTTGCAGTAGCCGCAGTAGTAGCAGTAGGGGCCGAGGGGCCTATGGGCCGAGGGGCCAAACACGAAGAGTGGGGGCCGAGGCTAGGAGCAAAGGGGCCTGGGGGCCGAGGGGCCTGAGGGCCGAGGGGCCTAGGGGCCGACGGGCCTAAGGGGCGTGATGGGCCTAGGGGCGCGACGGGGCCGAGGGGCGTGACGGGCTTGGAAACGGGTCCGTGGTGGGGGGGCGCGACGGGCTAGGAAACGGGGCCGTGGGGCGCGACGGGCCGAGGGGCGCGACAGAGCCGAGGGGCGCGACGGGGCCGAGGGGCGCGACTGGCCTAGGAAACAGGGCCGTGGGGGGCGCGACAGGCCTAGGGGCGCGATGGGGCCGAGGGGCACGACGGGCCTAGGAACGGGGCTGTGGGGGCACGACGGGCCTAAGGGGCGCGACGGGCCTAGGGGCGCGACGGGGCCGAGGGGCGCGACGGGCTAGGAAACGGGGCCGTGGGGCCGCGACGGGCCTAGGAAACAAGGCCGTGGGGCGCGACGGGCCTGGGGACGCAACGGGCCTAGAGGCGCAACGGGGCCGAGGGGCGTGACGGGCTAGGAAACGGGTCCGTGGGGGGGGCGCGACGGGCCTAAGGAACGGGGCCGTGGGGCGCGACGGTACTAGGGGCGCGACGAGGCCGAGGGGCGCGACGGGGCGGAGGGGCGCGAGTGGCCTAGGAAACGGGGCCGTGGGGGAGCTCGAGAGGGCTAGGGGCGCGACGGGGCCGAGGGGCGCGACGGGCCTAGGAACGGGGCCGTGGGGGTGCGACGGGCCTAAGGGGCGCGACGGGCCTAGGGGCGCGACGGAGCCGAGGGGCGCGACGGAGTCGAGGGGAGAGACGGGCTAGGGAACGGGGCCGTGGGGGTGCAACGGGCCTAAGGGGCGCGACGGGCCTAGGGGCGCGACGGGCCTAGGGGCGCGACGGGCCAAGGGGCCGGGTCCTAGGGGCTACTCGCAGGGAAGCAGGTGGTGGGCCCAAGGAAAGAAAAAAGCGGTCCTAGCGAGGGATCGCTCTGAAACCATGTTAAAATTAATGAACAAGAATGGATGAACTAGCAAAGAGTTGGGTACAAGTACTAACCCTAATTGGGTTGTACCCCTTATGGGCTACCCCACTATAGCCTACACAAATGTAAGCACTAAAACATTCTGACAGGCCTAAGGGAAACGGGCCGCGGGGCCGAGAGCGAGGGGCTGGGGGCCTTAGGGCGACGGGCCGGGGCGCGCGGGCTAGGGGCGACGGGGCCGGGGCGCGGGGGCCGGGGTCGACGGGGCCGGGGCGCGCGCGCGAGGGGCCGACGGGGCCGGGGCGCGGGGGCCGGGGCCGACGGGGCCGGGGCGCGCGCGCGAGGGGCCGACGGGGCCGGGGCGCGGGGGCCGGGGCCGACGGGGCCGGGGCGCGCGCGCGAGGGGCCGACGGGGCCGGGGCGCGGGGGCCGGGGCCGACGGGGCCGGGGCGCGCGCGCGAGGGGCCGACGGGGCCGGGGCGCGGGGGCCGGGGCCGACGGGGCCGGGGCGCGCGCGCGAGGGGCCGACGGGGCCGGGGCGCGGGGGCCGGGGCCGACGGGGCCGGGGCGCGCGCGCGAGGGGCCGACGGGGCCGGGGCGCGGGGGCCGGGGCCGACGGGGCCGGGGCGCGCGCGCGAGGGGCCGACGGGGCCGGGGCGCGGGGGCCGGGGCCGACGGGGCCGGGGCGCGCGCGCGAGGGGCCGACGGGGCCGGGGCGCGGGGGCCGGGGCGCGGGGGCCGGGGCCGACGGGGCCGGGGCGCGCGCGCGAGGGGCCGACGGGGCCGGGGCGCGGGGGCCGGGGCGCGGGGGCCGGGGCCGACGGGGCCGGGGCGCGCGCGCGAGGGGCCGACGGGGCCGGGGCGCGGGGGCCGGGGCGCGGGGGCCGGGGCCGACGGGGCCGGGGCGCGCGCGCGAGGGGCCGACGGGGCCGACGGGGCCGGGGCGCGGGGGCCGGGGCCGACGGGGCCGGGGCGCGCGCGCGAGGGGCCGACGGGGCCGACGGGGCCGGGGCGCGCGCGCGAGGGGCCGACGGGGCCGACGGGGCCGGGGCGCGCGCGCGCGCGCGCCGGGGCCGACGGGGCCGGGGCGCGCGCGCGCGCGCGCCGGGGCCGACGGGGCCGGGGCGCGCGCGCGCGCGCGCCGGGGCCGCCGGGGCCGACGGGGCCGGGGCGCGCGCGCGCAGCGCGCGCCGGGGCCGACGGGGCCGGGGCGCGCGCGCGCGCGCGCGACGGGGCCGACGGGGCCGGGGCGCGCGCGCGCGCGCGACGGGGCCGACGGGGCCGGGGCGCGCGCAGCGCGACGGGGCCGACGGGGCCGGGGCGCGCGCGCGCGACGGGGCCGACGGGGCCGGGGCGCGCGCGCGCGACGGGGCCGACGGGGGCGGGGCGCGCGCGCGCGACGGGGCCGACGGGGCCGGGGCGCGCGCGCGCGACGGGGCCGACGGGGCCGGGGCGCGCGCGCGCGACGGGGCCGACGGGGCCGGGGCGCGCGACGGGGCCGACGGGGCCGGGGCGCGCGCGCGCGCGACGGGGCCGACGGGGCCGGGGCGCGCGCGCGCGACGGGGCCGACGGGGCCGGGGCGCGCGCGCGCGACGGGGCCGACGGGGCCGGGGCGCGCGCGCGCGACGGGGCCGACGGGGCCGGGGCGCGCGCGCGCGCGGGGGCCGACGGGGCCGGGGCGCGCGCGCGCGCGGGGGCCGACGGGGCCGGGGCGCGCGCAGCGCGCGCGGGGGCCGACGGGGCCGGGGCGCGCGCGCGCGCGGGGGCCGACGGGGCCGGGGCGCGCGCGCGCGCGGGGGCCGACGGGGCCGGGGCGCGCGCGCGCGCGGGGGCCGACGGGGCCGGGGCGCGCGCGCGCGCGGGGGCCGACGGGGCCGGGGCGCGCGCGCGCGGGGGCCGACGGGGCCGGGCGCGCGCGCGCGGGGTCGACGGGGCCGGGCGCGCGGGCTAGGGTCGACGGGGCCGGGAGCGGCAATGATGGTTGGAGATGACGAGGAAAGTGAGTAGGAGTATGCTTTCGCGTTTTTCTCTCCGGTAGAGATGCCGGGGGATCCAGCAACTCTCAAGGAGGCCTTGGAGAGTAGTGATGCTGAGGAGTGGATGAATGCAATGGAGAGTGAGCTGAAGAGCATTGAGGAGAACGGCACGTGGGAATTGGTGGAGCTACCGGAGGGGCATAAGGCGATTACGTCCAAGTGGCTCTTCAATATCAAGTCCGATGCCGATGGCAAAATCGAGCGCTACAAGTCTAAGCTTGTGGCCAAGGGGTACCAGCAAAAAGAGAAGGTGGACTATAAGGAGTTGTTTGCTCCTGCGATGAAGCCAACGACGCTGTAAACCCTACTCGCGGGTGCTACCATCAAAGAATGGGTGGAGAAACAAATGGATGTGACAACGTCATTCCTCAACGGCGTCCTAGAGGAGGAGATCTTCATGGCGCAGCCAGAGGGGTTTGATGATGGTAGTGGCAGAGTGTGGAAGCCGAAGAACGCGCTATATGGGCTCAAGCAACCCCCTAGGCAGTGGTACTTGAAGCTGTGTGAAGTCTTGGAGGAGATCGGGTTCACTCCCTCATCCGCCGATCATTTCTTGTTCATGCTTGGCAAGGGGGAGCAGAGGAGTTTCATGGTGGTTTATGTGGATGACATCCTCATTTTCTCACCCTCCTCTGACCTTGTGAAGGAGGTGATGCTGAGGCTTCAAGACAAGTTCAAGTGCAAGGTGCTTGGTGACGTGAGCTTCTACCTTGGGCTCCACATCGAACGAGATATGGAGAAACGGTGTATGCGTGTGCACCAACGGAAGTACCTGGAGGCCTTGGCTGCCAACTTTCGGCAGATTGAAGGCCATGTAGCTACTCCATTTCCTTCTGGGTTTAATTGTGTGAAGGGATCAGAAGAGGAGAGCGTTCGAGAAGAGGAGAGGCGCCGATTTCACTCGTTGGTGGGCAGCCTCATGTACGCCGCGGCAAACACCCGACCGGACGTCGCCTTTGCTACCGTGCAGCTGGCTAGGGTTGTTCAATGCCCTAATGAGGAGCAAATAGCAGTTGGAATGAGGGTGGCCAAGTATCTTGGTCAAACAGCAACGGTTGGGCTGCAATACTTGTCGGAGGCACAAAGGCGTCAAAAGGGCGCGGATGGTGTTGGACCCGGGCGTTTGTTCCTCACAGCCTTCTCCGATGCCTCTTATGCATTAGAACAGGAGGACATGACAAGTGTGGGAGGCTTCATTTGCTGTGTTGGTTGAGCCCCAACTGCTTGGGAGAGCAAGAAGCAGGTGGATCAAGCATTGAGCTCGGTGGAGTCCGAGTACATGGCACTCTTCCGTGCCGTACGGGAGATTGTGTGGCAGCGGCGTTTGTTGGCCAAATTGGGGGAGGAGCAGCAAGGACCTACCCCACTCTACGGTGATAGCTAGGGTGCCATTACTATTGCTAAGAACCCTGTGTTGCATGGTTCCACGAAGTACATGAGGGTGAAATGGCATTGGACGAGGAGCATGGTGGCCGCGGGTGAAGTTGAGTTGCACTACGTGAAAACGACAAGGCCGCCAGCTGACATGATGACCAAGAGGCTGGTGGAGCTGCAGCATTGGAAGTGTTGCAAGCTGCCTGGGATGGCTCTGAACTGAGAGAACCAGATCCTAAGGCCAACAATTCGAGGGCAAGTTTGTTGGTGCAACCCTACGGTTTGCATTCGGCTTGTTGTCCGTGTGCATGCATGCGTGTGTGCATGGAATGGTATGAGGGCATCAGATAATATAAATTTCATGTTTACAATAGTGTGTGAATGATGAGGCATGATTTTGAATGTGCGTGTCGAGTCAATAACGAGTTATCGCTAGTCGCGTGACACGTCGTCGTTTGCGTGTCATGTGCAGTTTTTTATTTCGTCGTGTGTGGAACGTTCGGCGTGTCTTAGGTGTGCGCAACAGTATTCCAAGAACTCAATGAAGAATTGATCTTGAAGAACTAGAGCCATCGTTTCAAGATTCAAGTGATTTCGAAGTTGTCCAAAAGGGAAAACTTCAAGATAGTGAGAATAGTTACATTACAATGTGTAGTGTAAAATTTCTCTTGGTGTAGGCCCTTGTGGAGGGTAGTTTTGCGACCCTTCATGGTTGGGGACAGTGTGGCACAGTTTCACATCACTGTACATTGGCTCTTGGGATTTGTAGGAGCTGGGAGTCATTCCCAACTCGTAACTCTCCCTCATTTGTGTTCTAAGACTATAGTGGCTGGTGCTGCTGGCGGCAATCTAAGCTGTTTGCTAGTGCTGCTGGCAGCAGTGTATGCTGCTGCTAGTGCTTCTAGTGGGTGACCTAGGCAGCTGAGCAGTCTAAATGGCAGCAGGTTTCAGGTGGGGACGGCGGGCTACTGGTCCTGGGGTGGTGGGGAACGGGTCGGGCGGCGGGTAAGGCAGTGGGCGACGGGTATCAGGTGGTGAATGGCGGGTTACAGGTCCTGGGGCGATGAAAAAGGGGTTGGGCGGCGGGTAAGGCAGTGGGCGACGGGTTTTCAGGTGACTTGCGCGTGCGCGCGGCTGTGGTTGTGCGTGCGCGCAGTTGCGCGTGCGGCTAACGCTGCGTCTGCTGCGCGCTAGCGGGCTGGTGGGCAAAACGCGCGAGGCAGAAAAAGGTGAGGCGCGGGACAAAAACGGGTGGGTCGTGGGGCGATTCAGGGGGGGGGGGGGGGGGGGGGTTGGGCGGGGGCCTTCCTAGGTCGCGTCGTGGGGGACCCGCGAGGGTCCTTCTATCTCGCGATTTGGAAGGCCCGCAGGGGCCTTCTACCTTGCGAAAGGGGGGACCCGCGGGGGCCATCCTAGGTCACGACCTGGGGGACCCGCGGGGTTCCTTCTAGCTCGCAATTCGGGGAGGGGCCGCGGGGGGCCTCTAGCTCGCGATTCGGGGGGACCTGCAGGGGCCTTTCTAGGTCACGACTGTTAAAGTCTAGAGTCCACTTAGGGGTCGCGGATGCCCATGAAACCGCCTAAGCAGAATTAGATAACTTCGAACCGCCTCTGTTCAAAACGCCGCCACGATCAGCTCCAATAATATACCATGCTGAAACTTGGTCAGACGTTAGCTTCAGGTGTCTGCTTTCCAACTGTATATTTCTTGCTTTCATCAGAGGTGTATGCGCTACGCGGTGAACAAAAACGTAAGCTCGGCTGAAAACGTGTAGTTTCATTGATGCAAGGAAGAGGTAAGTACAACATTGCCTACGGGACTCTTTAGGGGTTGGGACCATCCTGGGAACTCTTTAGCGGCTGCTAGCAACATCCGGAGCGTAGGAGCCTTGGCAACAGGAGCAAACACCTCTTGAAAGTCAATCCTCTGTCTTTGCTGAAAACTCTTGATCACAAGCCTTGTCTTGCGCCTCTCCAACTTCCCCTCCGCATCGGTCTTTACACGTAACACCCACGTGCAATCCAACGCCTTTCTTGCCGGGTTCAAATTGATGAGGGTCCACGTTTCATTCTCCATTTGGCTCTTGAAATCATCTTCCCTTGAAGCCAACCAAGCCTCTCGATCATCTCCAGTGAGAGCTTCCTCTATTGACGCCGGCTCATGAGGTAAGTTGACGCCAAAGCAACAAATCTGCTCCATCTCCCCCTCGGCTCCCTTCTCCTCCTCATCTTCCTCCTCGTGGACCAGCAATACCTTGGGACGCCCAAGCTTTTCATACTTGACGAAATCGTTTGGGTGGGCAGCTCTCTCGGGCCTCTCCTTGGCTGCTCCTTCCTTGGCTCCACCACAGACAGCATCACATTTCGCTTGGATAGTGCGCCTTGGTGGAAGCTTAGGGGATGGTGTAGGCTGCTGCATCTCCTCCTTGGTATCACCTCTCTCAGCTACAGGGGCCTCCCCTTGTTGCAGTAGTCCTTCCACATTTTCTGCCTCCCCTTCAGCACCTCTCAAGTCATGTGACACCTCTGTCAACTCTGAAGATGAGGACAACTCGATGGGAATGAGAAATGAGTCGTTCATTCCCATTTCTATTTCAAGTGGAATGGTGACCTTGCTCCTCCCCCGCTCCGACCACTCCTTGAACATGAGCCCCTCCATGAACTTGCCATCTCTGGTGGTGAAGATGGTGTTGAATTTTGAGTCCCACATGAGCTAGGCCTTGCTCCTTATGCAAGACCCAAATGAACAGCCCACACTGCCGTCGCTTGGTGTCACGCTTCTCCTTAGGAACATGCACGAGCCACATGCACCCGAAGACACGAAGCACATCCACCAGGGGCTTCTTGTCACTCCACTTCTCCATAGAGACCCAATGCTAACCTCGCACATGAGTCAACACCCGGTTCTTGATGACGGTAGCATGACAAATAGCGAGGGGCCAGAACCGCAAGGGTAGACCCGAATCTACCAATATCGTTCTCCCGCCCTCTATGATGGTCCGGTTTGCTCTCTCTACCACGCCGTTGGACTAAGGGGTGTAGGCCGTGGTAAGCTGCTGCTTGATGCAGTGCCGCTTCAACCAGCTCAGGAACTTTGCTCTAAAAAACTCCCCACCACAGTCGCTACGAATCGTCTTCACCCGCTTGCCGCTCTCTCGCTCCATCATAGGCAGCCACTCTTCAATGATGACCCTTGCAGCATCACTCTTCTTTGCAAGTGGAAAAGACCAGGTGAGCCTTGTGTAATCATCCACCATAGTTATGGAATACAGGGCCCCACCATCTCTCTTCACCTTCATGTGCCCCACAAGATCCACATGCACGAGCTCCACCGGGTCACTTGACTGCCCCACCGCCGAATGGAAGGGAAACCGTGAGAACTTGCTGGTCAAGCAAGTCTCACAAAAGCCCACCTCCTTGGGCTCCCTCTTTATCCTCAGTCCCTTGACTTTTCCCTCCTTAAACAGCTGATGTAACTGAGGTAGCGCCATGTGGCCAAACCGATGGTGTGCGGTGAGCCAATTCGTCTCACCCGTGCTAGGAGTTACACTTGGTAGAGCACCCCCCCCATGCACAAGCAGCCCACCATTACTGCCATCACCACCTCCTCCACTGGTTACGTGGCTTGCATGACCTCCTCTTACAGCTTCAGCAGCCAAGCGTGCAGCCACCTCCTTCCATGGCAGCACCGGTATCTCCCACATGGACCGGTGCATGTCTTTGCCGCCTAGGAGGTCCCACAACACGCGCCCATTCAGAGTTGCCTTG